ATCCACGTAAATTAGATAAAGAATAATAGAGAAAGATCGTTTTACCCAAATTGTTTATGTATATGCTGGGTAATCTTCTCGATGTAGCCGTCATTCTGTAATAGAAGATCCTTTACCTTAGATCAAACATTCAGTGTAGTTATAGGAACATTATATAAGTTAGAATACACATAGGTAGTTTATCAAAATAATAGTAGAGCTCCTTGTGAAAGACCTCGGCCAGGAACTACTGCCACCAGTTTCGAAGGGTAAGGGTGTTGGTGAAATTAAAGCCTTGTCAGCTTGCAGACTTGCCAGTCTCAGGTTCATTCGCAATACAACGTTTTCTATACTATAAAGTGAATTCTTTAATTATCAAATTGGCGACGAGGATGAGAAGTGATATATTACAAAAAATCCGGATGGTTAAAAGTACCCTTCCAGATACGACCACTACATCAGGATTTTTTTTTACCTTACCTATTTCTGACGCTAAGCAGTAATATTAGAAGGGTCGGGTGCTGGTGAAATTACAGGCACATGAGACTATCAACTTATGTCTCAAGGTGACAGGCACAGTTACAGTGCCCCTCAAGTCTTTGTAATTTAAAGCTCTTAATGGCACTGCAACTGTTAGGGCGAGGCGTGTCGCTTACCACCAGGCACACGATTTGTTCATTCCGACACTTGGTATAATAAAAAAAATAGAATCTGGTAGGATCCAGGCCTTCCCCACATCGCCGCTAAGGAAAATACGTAAATTCAAGATTTAAACATTTCTTAACTGAATTGCTTGATTATATTCAAAACTGGAAACGGATACCAGTTTTACGATGCCTAGTTTGGTGTAGTTTTCACCCTGACTGAGATCGACTTACGTGTCCGAATAACTTTTTGGATTGTTCATAAAAGGGCCACACAAAAGGGTAAACTATTAATATATTATTTGCTCTTACTCCTTGTGTTCTATTTTTTGAATAGTCAAATTCAGCATTTATTAAAGGATTCCTGCAATTAATTTCACTTAGTTTCCAGTCGTGAAGGAAATTGAATTTCGTAGTTTAAATAGCGGTACACGTATCTGGATCCGGATACGTTTAACAAACTAAGGCCGTCCATACAAATCAGATGTGAACCCGTCCTTGTACGATTCATTTGTTTACCTAGTTGCAAATGCAATCCGCACCATGGTATTAAGGTACATTAAGCCACCTAGTATCGTGATTGGTCTAGATTAATGAAACTTTTCCCGCAAATCCCCACGTAGCGTAAGCTACGAGGATTAAGGAGGAGGAATACATTAAGTTTGTTACGCAATGGTGCAATGCTGGAAAAGAAAGAAGGAGAGTTGTAATCCTTAGAAAAAGCCTTGTCCACCTGCATAGGGTTTTATACAGTATGTTTGCTCACGTTAGCAATTCCTTTTTTCATCATATCAAGTGATACGCCTACTCGTAACAATTACAGTGTCACTCTGAGCTTTAAGTCGCAAAGACCTTTGCCACAGTGTCTGTTACCCTGAGGCATGGTTGACAAGACTCATGTGCCTATAGTTTCACCAGCACCCTAAAGCTGCTAACAAATTGCAGCTGAGACCACGACTGCGTGAACTTGATAATGACTTCACGCACTAACTACATGAAGTCGATCTCGAATGCATGAAGACGGTTTCGACATCATGCCGTCAACTTATCATGTTATCAACTTCATGCAGTCAAGGTCTCGGTTAACAACTTCACGCATTAACTGCAGACATGCAGTCAAACTGTTAGTTCAGAACCGGTGGCAGAACTAGGTGTGCAGTACTAGTCTCGAGGAACACTTTCACAAGGAGCTGGCACTGCTACTAAATCTGCAATACAACATTACAAATGTGAACAATGTTTCCAACTCAAATTATCATACTGTCCCATTTGTTTTTCCTCCAGTGTACGTACTTCTACAAGTACAGCAAACCTCTATAGCAACTAAATACAATTTTTTTTCGAAGCAATTTTCCATTGTTTTTCCGTAAAAACGACCTGAAAATGTCACTACAGTTGTTAAGCGCTAACAATGCCCACGTTGTAGATGGCTGCGACAGTATTGACAATCTATTTCTAGACGGGATGGCTTTAATGTTTACATAGATACTTATGTCCACATTTGTAATATCACTCTGTCCACCTGATGGGAATGTAGGTACATTTACGAAATAAATCTGGTTTCAAGGTTTCAGAGTGAAATGCATAGACTTTTAAAATCTCTTTAGGTTCAGCGAATGATTTGATAAGATTTGCGTAAAATACTAGTTTAAAAGAAAAATCTATGTTTTAGCATATATTTTACTCATAGGAAATGAAATTTTGTTTTCCGAGCTAAAATCGCGTTTATACCTGTCCAATTCTTTTACAATCGCTTCGCAATGATTATTACAATTAGAAAATAGTTTTTTAAAAGATCCATTGCATTGTGAATTTTATTTTTATTTGTATAATTCTTTGAGTTGATTATTTGCGCCTAGAAATTGGTAGCATTGTGTCAATACACGGTAGACGGTATTCCTCTACAAGAAATAAGTTGTACTAGGTATTGTTAATTCTAATTTTTTTACGAGGTTATCCATTAAGGCCTGATGGTTTAACCGGTAAGTGTTTAACGCCGGGGCTCAAACAAAATATCAATCAAATAAAAATCAAATTCTTAGCTTTTCGTGATTGTTACGCATTGATTTCAGTCAGTTTGTGACCATGGGACCTGTAAATGGCCCGAAACATCGGTTTGTCCTGAAAAAATATGATTACAAAAAAAAATATTTCAAAAAATGTTTAGTTGCTGGACATATACTTACTTCACAATAATCTGGGTTCGACACTCTTTTTAAGTAACACTTCTTAATTCTTTTGGTTTCAATTTGTAAATGCCAAGAGTTTAGTTACGAACGTCTGGTTGATATTTGAAATCAAATTATCTAATTCTCATTGGAGTGTCGCGTTGGTAACCCGCACCGAAATTAGGATAATAATATGTTCTCTCTTACCATGTTTTTCTTTCAAAATCAAAACATGAGTAGTTACATTCGTCGTCCAAATTTCGCCTAATAAATTTTACTACACGGGAAGTGCTACTCAAGTGAAATTACCCATCCAGACTACGTCATCCAATTTGTTAAGCACTTTAGGTTCACTAATGCGGTGTTATAGTTCGCGAAAACATTAAAACGCTTGGTTTGGCAAGCTTCCAAAGTATAATACACTTTTTGGCTTCAACTCGGTGCGAGTATAGTAGATTTTTGGACATTTTGAAACTGTGACGAATGTACCCAATTATTGACTTAGGGCAAGGTATGCTTGGCCATGTAGTAACCAACGTGAGTGCTGCTAAATAAATCCTCCGCTTTGTTTCTTCGCTATCAGGAAACAAACTTTTCACATTATTATTACCATATTATACTTCACTGATTCCGAAATTGATCCGCACCCTTTGATAATAAGGCCTCATCTGGAAAATGACAACTTTTCAGTGAGAGAGATATAAAAATTATTTTCACTAATTACAGGTTTCTTACCACGGTATGAGTTTTTTTTATTTTTCCGATATTTCGGAACGGAACGAAATTTGGTCGGAAAAAAGTGAGCGACTGTAGTAACACTCAAACGTCGAGATGAATGTAGTCAATCGACAGCGGAAGAGGGTAGACAGAGATATGTCTGCTCTTAAAGCTGTCATCTGCCGCTGTCCAGTTAACCTGTGATCATGGAGCGTGTCAGGGCGCATTCCCGGTGACTGTCGCGTCTAGTCTGTTCCCATATCACGACTACGTGTCATGACTGTGTCGTGGACTTTTCTTATAGTTGAACAACAGTTATACCTTGGTACCGTCGTTGTTTCCGATTTCCATAACACAAGTGCTTTACCTACTCTATATTATAGTATTACAGTATTACCTAGCTGTTCCCACTGGATCGTGATGACAATTTACCGTTTCACGGCAGCCGCCTTGTCGTTTGCAGATATGAGACAACGATAAATAAAACGTGACGACAATAGTAGCTGCGATTATATGTCGTCACATTTTTATCTTAACGTTTTATTTACCATCGGACGACTGTCGTTCTAGCTCTTCCCATTGTCTTGACAGTCTGTCGTCGTTACGTCAAAAAGTGGTCAACAACTTCATTTAAATATACATGGTATGATATTTTAAACTGCACGACTATCTGTCGTCACGATATGATGGGAACGCACACTAACCGTTCCAAAATAAATATTAATATATATGTATATATATAATTATTAATATAAATTTATGCACAAATTATGGAGAGTAATAACATTTCACATATACATTTAATTTATTTCGTATAGTTGGCATTATTTATATGACTTTCATAATGATAAAAGCATTTTTGACTTACGGTCAGATGTGGTTTTATTATGCCAATGGTAGGAACAATTTTTAAAAATATAAAAAGAAAAAGGAAATACTCCCTTCCCGTTTCTTTCCAATGAATATATAATCAATTTTTTACCTATTATTGTTATTTACAATCACTTCTTAGTTTATTTTTAATTTCATCAGTTCCACTAATGGTGTGGTACCATTAAGTTCATATTTACCATTTATCAACTTATTGACTGTTTACACTTTCACCTTGATTTACATTTCATTGAAAATACGTTTTTTACTTACACTGGCGACATATGGGTTAAGATTTTCAGCAATAACACACCAAAATTAAACTTGAGTTTTATTTTTAAATAATTCTTTTTAAATAAAGCTATTTCTTTTTAAATAAAGAAAAAATATATTAATACATTCAGTCGGTTTTAAAAATAACGCACTTTTACTTACCAAACCAAAAATATTTAATTCCCAAACAGTTAAAAACTAAAACCTCCTAGATAGTAAACCATGGACCGTCCATAAAAAATATGGAACTTTCAAAAACAATGTATCAGAGTACGGGGTCACGTACGGGGTTCACGCGGAGGCTATGACCCCGTATTGGTTTTGGTGAACCGATGCGGAGTGACTGAAGATGGAGAGTGGGGGAACGACGACGGCCACTGAGGCCTACCAGTATGTCGGGCCGTTTAGATTGGAGAAGACTTTGGGAAAGGGGCAGACAGGTAAATGACAGATGATTGTTTCTTGTTTTTTTTTATCGTTTTCTATAAGTCTTGATCCATATACCCTTACTAGTGATGCAACAGACCTCTTCCTCTGGTTTCGCGGAACTGCGCAAAATCCGCACGCTTTTTGACATTTATTTCCGTTTCTGCTTCCGCAAATTTTATCGGAAGTTTACAACTTTCGCGACTGTTGAGGCGCGCGGACGAATAGGTTAGCAGTAGTGGGGCGCGTCCTGTCTGGAACCATTTCGATGAGACTGCAGTCATCTACTGCATTTTTTACATGGCACCATTAGAATTACTTTCAAATTCGTCTTCGACTTCCTAGACCACTAGTTTTGTCTTACGATATGCAATAAAAGCATTTCCGGAAATCCGGACTTCGAAAAAGTAATTATAATTAATATTTGGTGGTTATAAGTTGTGTATGGTTATGAAGTTGTAGTTTTAACAACTCTATGTCGCTCTTTGTAGCTATATCTATACACATATATATGTACGTGGAACACCTTTTTCCAACCATTGATTATGACACGTCCGTTCATGTTTCATTCCGTTCATTCCGTGCATCACTAAAATTTTACTGCCTGTGAGGCCGAACAGTTGCCATACTGGTCTGCCACACAGAAGTCTCGAGTTCGATTCCCGCGCCGAGAGAAATATTTGTATGGCCTACATTTATTTCTCTATGTGAATGTTGATGGCATGCGCGATACAGCATTTCCCTTGTGAGAGGCCATGAATGTGTGCGTTATTACTTATCGTTACCATTATTTCCGGCTCAGTGTTGCCATTTAAACGGTTTGATTCAATCAAATTATTTTGCCACAATAAAATTGTGACAGTATAATTGATAGAAAATGGTTTTAACGGCAATACTTGCCAAAGTGTGTTTTATGTCGTACAAAATGACAGCTACAAAAGCAGGTTCCTTTAGGACTGTTAGGAACCACTGCTTGATTCCATTAGTGGGTCCAGTAAGATTTTGAAATACTCATGGTTCCATTGCATAACACAAGTGGATCCATCAGGATTTGTATTCAGGGGTATAACATACTTGAAAATGTGTTACATAGTGAATCATTGTAACCCCTGAAATTGACACGGTTATA